GAACAATTTATTTTAGCCTAACCCATCTAAATATATTTTAGATTTGTTTACAATAATTTAATACTAAACAAACACAGTGAAATATATTTTTTTCGTTAGGTTCAGAATGATTTTGGCGAAATTATTGCATGCACAAATTTTCAATTGTCCTATATGGCAAGATGAACGTTGCTATTTAAGCCAAGATCGCAAGTTCTGCCTATTCGGCACGACATTATTATATATATATAAATATATAAATATATATATATATATATATATATATATATATATATATATATATATATATATATATATATATATATATATATAATATATATATATATAATATATATATATATATATATATATATATAATATATAATATATATATATATATATATCTTTATAGCACAGGCCTGTGCTAACCTCTCTATGGTGTATAAATATACTTAGCTGGATGAATGTTAGTGTAGCCAGCTGGCACAGTGGCTTACGCGCTGACCTGGAGTTTTACGACTCAATCGCCACGAGTTCAATCACCGCCCGTGGTAAGGTTTGTCTGCAATCGTGTCATTACGATTTCGTGAGTCATATCTATTTTATTCTGCAGGTCGCAATTCACCTCCCCGTCCAATATTCTACAGGCCGCAGTTCGCCTCCCCGTCCAATATTCTGCAGGCCGCAGTTCACCTCCCCGTCCAATATTCTGCAGGCCGCAGTTCACCTCCCCGTCCAATATTCTGTTTATTCACTGACACTTGTTCATTACAACTTAGAGTCCACATATTTGTTTTTTTAATATTCTGGTGCTACCCCTTAATATTAGTGAATAAACGATAACCAGGAAGTAGCATGATGGGAGAGTATTGAAGTGTTACCTCTGAAATTATTAATGATATTTATTTGGCTACATTAATACTGGCTTAGTGGATACAACTTCCCTTCCAGTATGACTAATGACGACATATGTTTTAAATATTACCGAGTTAATGTGCTTCGTATATTGGGCACTGCAGTCTGGCAGTGGCGTCAAATTTCAGAGTTTCAGCAAGTGTCAGGTTGAGTGTATGTGTGTGTGTGTGTGTGTATGTGTGTGTGTGTGTATGTGTGTGTATGGGGTGTATGTGTGTGTTGTGTGTGTGTGTGTGTGTGTGTGTGTGTTGTTGGGTATAAGATATATTCTTATTCATCATATAGATCGTTCTTTGAATGTAAGTTGTGTATCAGTAGGTACATTGATTTTTGTGATACTCGTCACTGTGTGACAAATACTAATCATTAAAACCACTCGAAATAGCCAGGCTATTTAACCTTTTTTCACCCTCTTCTTATCTGTCAAATCTTTCCTCGCTGCTAAAAAAAAAAATACCACGGGTGGGGTTAGAACCCGCGATCAGAGAGTCACAAAACACTCTGTTCAATCTTGTGCCAGTCTTCTACCTACCCATTCATGCTCTCCTTACAGCTTAAAAAAGAGAGAGAATCATTAGCATGACTGAAGCAAGAGTTACCACTCTCCAAGAAGTAAAAGTTGGCTCCTTAATGAACCAGCATAACTATTCGAGGGAAGAAATCTGCGTTCAGTAAGCAACTCCCTTCTCCGGTTTTACGTCTCCATATTACGTTTAGCCGAGAATCATATTCAACGCAGCCCTACTCTTCTTTAGAGAGGTGAAAAAGTTCTAGGAGGCAGTTGGGATTCCTGTTGCTGCTGGCAAGAACACTAAAGGAACTTTCAGAACCTCTAGGTATGGTGACACGTACTCGGAGTTCAGAACCACGGCTGAGAAAACGCAACCCTTCACTGAAAGGTTGGAAGATCACTTGGACACTGCACACGCAGCTGGTAAAGTGAAGGAGCGGGTTCATGGCCGGGGTCGATAACGAAAGGGTTGCAAGGAATGAACGCCAGCGGTAAAAAAAGGTGAAGGCTAGTAGCTAAAAGGAAAGCTCGAAAGCCAAAACGTTTCGCTCTCTACAACAGGCGAAACCCTTCGGCAATAAAGATACGCAAGTGTTGCATATATCTTAATCATCAACTTACTGGTATTGTATACCAGCGGTGATATGATGCGTATCTGACACGGCATCAACATTATTTTAGTTCAGAGGAAACCCTATAACGCTGCTGAACAAGTTTCGCATGATTCACTTCCATTACTGGGCCTTACTCCCTTGTGGCATCACCTCCGGCTGCTAAACCTGACTTCTGCTCTATTATATACAGTATTGTGCAAATTAATTGAGACAGGAGTAAATTTTGTGATTATCTCTTAATATATCTTAGTCTCCGGCTTAATGTAGTTTGGATTCTTTTCTTTTCAGAAGAGTTTGCTACTAACTTCTGCCAAACATCCAGCTGTGGTGTTACCCTGTTACTCTCGTCAGTGCTGCAACAGCTGTTGTTCTGTAAGGCTATTCCTGAGAGCGTGCTCAGTGAGTGAATGTGGCTGCACACCTCTGCTTCACCACCTTTCAAGTGACCACCTCAAAAAATTACTCTTGCCTTCCTCTGGTG